TTACGACAAAGACAAACGGTTTATAAACACAGTAACGAGTAACATCGTACAATATAAAACCCACTCAAATATATAAAGCCACGCTTTCTGGTAGTGTACACTTTTCAGAATCAGAACTAATAACTATAGGCAGAAACTTTTCAAAAACACGGAACCTAGTGCGCCCTCTAGCACCGATAGGTGTTCGCGTAGGTTGCCCACTTTGCTGTTCAGACTCTGAAAACCGTGTACTACTAATCTTTGAACTTCGATTAAAGAACAAATCATAACCCAAATTAAAACAAAATAAAATTAAATAAAAAATTGCACTAATAGCCACATTTTTTACATAAGTGTTTTTGAAAGATGACAATTCTAAGATCTTATTTGAAACAGCATCAAGTCAATTGATGTGATGGTCCCTGACATACAAAGACAACCCTTCAAACGTGTTCCAACCAAGAAATGGTTAATATTTGCCTGATTTGATCGTGGTTTTGATTTGTGTCGAAAATATAATATATTAAATTTTTGTTAGTTTTTTTTCAAAATTGAACTCTGTATCACTGCCTGAAATTGAGACAATCTTTAGCTGTGACGTCATCGGGCTTGAGGCGTGTCTTCCCTTCTCGCGCTAAGGGGTCCGCCTTAGCCCGTACGATACCCGCTTACAAGTGATGCACGGTTATGTATCCAATACAATACCCGTTTACGAGATACCGAATTGTTCGAGTTACGAAAACATAGTTTAATTAAAATTAACACGCCTACTTTTGGAAAACCACGGCCACTTTAGCAAAACCACGCTCAAATTGTTATTTGATATCCATAGATTTAGATAGATTTGACATAGATTTTTTGTTCTGTTTAACGTTCAAATTTAATAACTCGAATGTTCATTATCAGTTCGAATAACGGGGAATATACAACGTTAAACGAAACAAAAATTATATGTTGCCCTAACTCGAAGTTCTGTTAACTGTAAATTGAACATCGAGTTACAATTTGAAAGGTGGGCGTGATTTCTGAAATATGGGCGTGGTCATTTTTGTTACTCGATGTTTTCGTAACTCGATACTCGATGACTGTAACTCGAACAATTCGGCATCTCCCCGGTACAAGTAATGCGTGGTTATGTACCCGTTTGAAAGTGGTTCACCGTTATGTAGCCAGTACTATTGTACCCGTAATAAATAATACAGTGCATGTTTACACCTTGTACATTCAGCTGCAGTTTTATATTCAGCATAAATACATTGAATTTATTGAATTAAGAGCCGTGATTGGGTGACAATAGTTGGGTGACACGTGACCAACGCTGGTGTACGTACAATTCGCTTGGCTTCGTTTACAAAACAAAACAGACACATAGTTCTGACCATTTTTTGACTTTTACTGCATCAATATATATCGAAACAATCAAAATCTTGAAGATACTCACCTGACTGAGAGGGACCGGGGGTCTTGCCGTCAATGAACCAATGTAAATACCATGAGGCATCATGGGCCGGGGATAATCGAATACAAAATCAGAACAGAAAAGTACTAACTCGGCATTTCCACATAAACTCCTGTATGAAAGCTCTGGTCGAATGTTATGTCGTTGTTTCACACTTTTGAAAGGTTTTAACAAAAGTAACTCCAACATTGCACCCGATGCAAGATATACAAATGTATTGCTCAGTCTCTGAGGAAACGTCATCACATCTGAGTATCCCGTCAATATCGCTGGTACATATGCAGGGTTCGAGGTCAAACCATGAATTAAATCGTCTACCATCGGTAAAGATCTCACAGTGGATAAAACGATGAGTGGGACACGCAATGTACCAACAATAAGAGCATAGCCTGGGTTAAAGGAATTGGCAAGGATTAGATCAAAGTTCGTGGCCTTCAAGCGTTCTATGATGTTACTGTCTTGAATAAAAGCCTCCGTCTCATCTGCCAAAGCATCAAAAACGCTAAGCGTTTCGAAAATAGATGGTACATTGTGTACACTTTTTGTGACTTGGTTGTATGCATCGGGAAATTCGTTGAAGCCGGATTTATACTCTTCAAAATTCATAAATGTTCGTTGTTGTTTGATCAAGCCTGCAAATCTGTGGTAGTAGAGGTCATTTATCAAAATGGTCACATTGTGACCTCTCATGGCCAGCAGTTCCCCAAATCTGGTTATAGTAATGTATACATTCCCGATCGGAGCACCTGGGAGGACGAGTATATTGCTGCAGAAGACTGGACAGATCACACACGCTATAACAATAGCACCGATCCATCGGGTGTTAAAAAATGTGGCCATGTTGACGCCGTTGTCCAAGGTTACTAATGTCAATCAAAGGTCATGAAACTGTCCTAGGCACATACTTAAATATTTGATCGATGTTGTTAGATACGCGCGTGTATTTATTCAAAACAATAACAATCGCGTCTAAAATCGTACCTTCATAATCATATGTAACGTTACATTACGTTACCCGACTGTAAACTAGTAAATTGTATTATTTTTCTTTCGTGACATAAAAAGAGCGCATGCGTCATATTGCAACAAACTGGAGTCACGTGATTTGTTATGTCAAAGGTGAAATGGAAAAAAGTGAATGTGGATTGACCTTTCTTATATATCACCGCGGGTACGAATGCGAATGGTGTGATGCCGTTGGTACCCTATTATGTTTCGAAACTATACGGAATGTACCACACTTTCTATTCAGTTGATAGTATAGTATATATATATTTTTTTTGATATACTAGTATACTAAGCCTGCCATCGTGCTGCGCTACACTGAGCGGTCACCGATCACACAACCTCAAGATTTATGTATGTAAGGGGTGGGTATAGGTAAACGGTGAGCACGATTTGGATGAGCAAGTTGTCGTAAGGGTTGGACTATTAAAAACTTTGGGGGCGATGACAAAAACTATGCAAAATATTTTTTTTTTTTACAACTAGTTGTGTGCTAATTTTTTAAATGAAGCCTCTGCATGTAGGAGTCAAGAATGTTTTTTTTTTCTGCGACTGATGTTCCCTGCAGATTTGTTCCATGATTTTTTCCTGTCCATTTTCTCCATTCTGCCATTGCCACCCCGGAAAAAGGCAGTTTATAGTTTAAAACTACTTTATCTAATATTATCAGGCCAAAAGCAAGCAATATACTACGGGGGGGGGGCTACTGGGTAAGGGTGTGAAGCCCACCTCTCGTAAACCATACTCACTTCTAAACCATTTTTTCAGCCTTTTCCAGTATTAGGCTTTGTATATATGGCCCTGTGAAAAAGTAAATAAATGCTACACACTTCTAAACCAAAACATTGATAAATGACCACCCACTTTTAAACAAAATAACGTGAAATGACACCCCAGTCGGGCGGCACATACCCGTATTGCACTTCTATGCAAGTAGCCCCCCCCCCGGAATATACTAGTATAAATACATTCTATTTTTACCTATATTGAACTCGTCTAATTGGGATGATTTCCATCTTTTAGCCATACTTGGCCGCCTTGATACCAAGAATTTTGTTTTAAAACTTGACAAAATATAATATTTTCCAATCTGATTAAAATCTGATGTAGTGTACGGGCTTTAATTATTGTGGCTATAAACTTATTTTAATTTTATTTTTTATTACTTTTGTTATTAATGCCCTTTTATTTTATTATTTTACTTTGATTTTGTGATTTGTTTTAATTCTGCCCTACCTACATCTGATCCGACGCCTATGTAAGTCCCGTTCAAATCTCGCATAAGTAACGGCCAATCACAGCCCCCCTTTTATACAGGCTGTCGGTTGATTACTTTTCAGTGTAGCGATACTCGACGGGCAATCTTTCTGTACATTATATTTTGCCCACTTGAATAAACCATTAATAGAAAATTGCTAGTATATTTTTATTTGCAAAAGA